TTTGAGTTAAAATATATATTTATAATTTTAATAAATGACAAATTAAAAAGGCATGAACAGTTTTTTTGTATGGAAAAAATATCGAACTGTGACACCAAAGTATCGAACCGAACCGTGAATTTTGTGTATCGTTGCACCCCTAATAAATATATATATGTCTATATAGTCTCGTATATACACACACACACACACACACACACACACACACACACACACAATTAAATTGCACATTCTGACCAGCAGTAATCGCTTTACTCGAAAGTACAGTACCTACACAGTATAGTACACTACTTAGGTAGGCTTCTGTAAATATGCTACTTAACTTTAAAACACAACAGCTATGTTTTACACTTTCAGATTAACAGTTTACAGTCTATCTCTAAAGATCGCACTTCTCCTGCGTTGGCAAAAATCTTGGCGGCTCAAAGTTACAACTTGTTGTTTGCATCACTCACAAAACATGAATTCAGTTTGTTTAGCAGAAACGTATATTGCAGACTAAGTATTCAACTTGTGGTCTGTGGCCCATTTTGCCATTGTAATGCTTTTGCTTTGAATGGTTTGAACAGAAACTACATTGAATTTATCCACCCAAATACCAGTCCCATTAAGTGTCCCGGTGAGTCATGACAGCAGAGCAGCATTAACAATAGCAGGACTTCCCCTAAATCAACAGGAGCTCGTTAAAACACCTGTCACTTCCCTGTCACAGGTCACATCAAACTGTAGCTCCATTAGCAGCTATTAACGCAACAAAACCAAATCTGAATTGTGGGTAATGTTTGTAAAATGAATCACTGTAACAAGTAAAATAAGTACAATGTTAGTCTGGGTTTATTTGCACTTGTTGCTTCAAGAGTACGGAAGAAACTAGAAGACATCACTTAAAATATGTTTCTGACTTTTATTTAGTTCGTTTTTAAATGGTAGGACTTGTAGCAGTGATGAATATCTTTTGCACAGCAGAGAGGCTTTTCCTTTCCCACAACGCGAGATTACCCAGCTGTCTTTGTCACTGTGAAGACTGAGATTGATCTGAACCTGAGATATCTATAATCACCAGACAACAGCAGGCAAAATGGGTTCCCATGGGAGAGATTACTGAAGCACGGAGTCAGCTGCTTAAATGTTGACATCTGTTTGCCCTTCACAGAAAAATACCCCACTGAGACACACACACACGCACAAAGTGCTGAAAGAAATGCATACACTTCCCCTGTAACTCTATCCTTACTACGTTACAGTCACCCAGAGATGAAGTAGTTCACATGATTTAATCATACTGAAAGCTGAGAAAATAAATAAATGCTGAGAGTTTGTCTATCAGAGATGAGTCAGTGCAGCAAGGCAGCTTTAATGTATTACATAGCAGGTAGAAATGCACAACACTTGGGTCCCAGGAGCACAAAGCAAATGCTTAAACTCAATACGTACCTTGTGGTCTGTGCTCCCTTCTTCATTCTTGTGCTCGCCTTCTGTCTTAGCATCAGTCTCCTCATTCTCAGTCTCTGTACCAGTCCTGTCCACGTGTGAAGGCGAATGATCATCGCTCTGTTCCGAGCTCCCCATATCTCCATTTACAAGCTCAGCAGTCTCTGTCCTCACACTTTCATGATTCTCCTCTGTATCCTCCTTCTCCTTCTCGTTGTCCTTGTCCATCTGCACTAGCACCCCGTTCGCTGCTTGCCTGTTGGCATCTTGTGTCGTGGCCGCCGCAGAGGTGTTCCTGCTGGTCTCCGTCTTTGGACATGCACGGTGAGCTGGACTGCAGTTGGCAGACTTGTTGATGTGTTTGAGCGGTGAGCTGTCTCTCTTGTTTTCTGTGTTGCTGGAGGAACAGAAGAAAAAGCAAAGGAGGAAGTGGCTCAGTCTGGGTAAGAGTGTATAAAGGGCTAACTAACAAACCTTCCCAGAATAAGAAAATAAGGGAGGGGGAAAAAAAAAGAAATTTACAGTAGGCTGGTCCATACCTTCTCAAGGTGACATATTGTCAGAGTGTGGTGCACAACAGCAAGCAGAGAGCTTTTGCACATGAGTGTGAGAGTTAAAAATAAACCAGTAGAGATGCACAAACTTCCTGCTGTCTTATTAGGTTGCTGACTGAGAGCTGAGAGGAAGTGTGAGTAAAGCAAAAGGGCACAGTAACGAGGAGCAACAGAGCAATAGGAGGAGCAGAAAAGTAAATCACCACTACTCCCGAGAGGTAGATGCTGCACTACTTCCCCACACATGGAAAACCTACTTTATACATTCTGCTGCGAGGCCTCTTTTATGCTTAGCGTCCAAATGAATGAAATGAAAAAACAATTTGCAGAAGACAACTGACACGCAGCACAGAAATGGAAACTAGATTGACAACAATGTGTGTGTGTACAATGTCACCATTCAGCTGCTCGACATCCTGTACCGGCAGTCGGTGCAGCTGTTTCCCAGCAAATGATACTCCACACGTTCAGCCAAACAAGAAGCAGCAACAGTAGCCACTGTGTCTCAGCTAAGATTATCTGAACTCAGTACAGTACATTAAAGGCAAAACTGTTTGCAGATTTAAAAAAGTTACCATGTCTATATCTGGAATCTAACGTTTACCGATGCAAAAAACAATCAACCAACAGATGACTTTTTTCTCCCTGCCCAGTAGAAACAGGAAGTATCAATAAATAGAGGAAGAACGAACAGCTGGTGAAACACCCGACAGATGAATGTGTTGGGGGCCGTCACCCACCTGTGGTGTGGGAACATGAAACTATCTTTTCACCACTCAGAGTAAGACTGACAGTTACCACAACTAGTGGGCGAGATACTATTTAATACAGTATTCAGAAACAATACAGCCGCATCACTTTGTAGGTGCACACATCACTTCCTCCTTCCACACAAATAGCACAGCAAGTGTTCCAGGACATGACAGTGTTTCAAAACAGGCTCAACCAGACACGAATTAAGAGCAGCTTCAGTTGCAGTGTGGTCGTCGCCTAGCTGCCTTTAAGGCAGCCAAACCTTGTGAACCAGATTAGTACATTAGTAGGTTAATTCTGTTCACAGAATCTGTGTGAAGCGTTTCTCTTCTTTGAGCTCCAGGGCCACTGAAGGGATAATCCTCACTGCCCAGGAGTGCCTGAATGAAATAGATGCACCAGATTCCTCTGATTAACCTCATTTCACACCAGAAAATGCGATGAAAGGTGCAAAGAAAGCCTGTAGACCCGGGAGATTTTTAGAGATCCAGGCCAGAGATGAGACAGATTTTAGTGGGCTGTTACTGCTGCAGATTGCATATTTTAGGGGTGCAACTGTACGAACAGACAAGGGCACCATTGTTGTGCCTCTCACTGCTTGCAATGAGCCTCCCTCAGAGACACAAGGCTGCAGCTACAGTGCAAACTTACACGAGTAAAGCACAACAAGTTAGACACAGATCAACACTGGAAAAATCTTACAGAATCTAATTTAACTATGAGGCAACAATATCAAAGTATACACATTCGTCAAAGATTTCCTACCTCATCCTCCTCTCGCAGCAGCGAGTTCTGTCCCGCAACCAAATGTGGACCCGTGTTTCCCCTCGCCTGTACAAATCTCCTTTCATCCCCTTGCTAACACTTGGCTCAGCAGCCACAGACTAATCTCCACTTACTCTCTCTAATGACTCTCGTCCGACGTACAATCAATGAGTCGCGGCTGAAAACTTTGAAACTTCTGCTTTTTTATCCTTGAAATAGTTGGTGTAGAAAAGTTGGGAAAGACCAATTTCTGTCACTGTGATTACAACAAGCCAGAGATTTATTACAAAAGCCAAGAAGTTACAAAGATGAAATCTTTCAACCACATCAAGGCAAAAGCTGCTAATTCAATCACACATTGTGACGGAGTTTTAAATCAGCAAAAGCAATAACAGAGGCTTACATTTCCTAAACATTATTAGGAAAATAACAGAATGAGCAATTCATCCACGCATCAAGTAACTGCTCATTTCTGCAGATATCTAGGCAGAGAAAGTTAAGAGGCCGAACCTGTTCTCCTCAAAGCGGCTGATCAGGTCTAAGACTTTGGAGGGTTTCTCTCTGGGTCTCTCCCGGCTGACAGCCCCCGTTTTTCCTCCTCCACTTCCGTCCTCCATCCTGCTTATAAGTGGGGGTTTCTGGATGTAGCCCAATGGGGATGGGATATCTGTCACTGGGCTTTGGAGGTGCAGTGGCTTTGGAGGCACTGGATATAAAACAGAGGAATTTACAACATGAGAAATGTCCTGAATACTAATCGCAGCTTCAATTCATTTTCTTACTGCAATCTCAGTTTGAAGCTGAAGGTGGCAGCATCAGCTGTCACAAGCGACACCACCTGTAGGACACTGAACTGTAATAAACGTCCTAACTGTAATAAAGAAATAATCGAGCTTGGCAAAAACTAACTGCGCATGGCTTTGCAACTAAATATCCTTCCTGACTTACAGCAGCAGGAAGAATGGAGCTCTGTTCCCTGCATTATCTGTGTAGAATGATTTACCCAACGCAAACACAAGAGGAACGAGTCTCTCGGTTCACTGAACCCAAGCCAGCTTACATAACTCTTCTTCTGGTTTGACCATTTCGTGGATGTTAACAGTGTCAAACAGCGTCCATAAGCACTGATTTATTCAGTGTTTTTCTGCAGATATACAGAGTAAACAAAGACGAAGTGAAAAACAAAGCAGTAGAAAGGTCACTGAGACCACATGTTGTGAATCAGACACTGAAATGCTATAACAATTTGTGTCTCCTAAGATTCTCACTTTGTGGCGTCTGGCTGAATTTTTTCCCACATGCTATTATGTACCTGGTGGTTTAGACTGCAGCCGAGGCCTGCCGCCAGGGACTCTTCCATTGACCCCTCCCCGGCTCTTGTCGGTCGTCCTTGCAGTCACCCGATTCAGACACGCCTGCACACTCGGCGATTCGCTGCGTTCTGACCCTGGGCTGCTGCCTAGAGCTAAAGGACACAAAGAGAGGGCGCACAAGCTTAAAAACAAAATCGATAATGGAATCAAAACCATTTTTATACAAAGAAGTGAGAGTGAAGAAACCAAAAGCATACGTATTTTACTGTTTTATCACTACAGGCATTATCGGCATGACTAATATTTACGATAGGTGACACTGATATATGCCCCACTCATCCTGCAGTGACATTTGAAGCCGTCACTCTGTGGTAGTACATGACTTACGTCGGTGCAATGTTTTACATCAACTACTTTCAAAGGTGAACTATGCTAAAACACATGTTTCTTATTAAGAATGGATTATTTTGAAATATAATATCTGAGTCAGAACTTTTATTTTACACCTTAATTTTCACAACAACCTCTGTCTTGTTTTATTCAGTATTGCAGGTGGCCTGAAAAACCAACGTGCCATTCCAGAAACAGATGTGCAAACATATTCTCCTCCAATTTGCCCTGTAAAGGAAAAAAATCATTCCCATCATATATTAAGTGCCATAAACAGCTGAAGACCACACATTAGAGGGTGTCATACACTTCAGTTGATTATCCCAGTTAATCATCCAGCTGATGATCAGCACCAGTGAGACTTTTTACCCAACCAGCTGGCCACAGATGGCGCAGCATCAGTGTTTAGATAGAGCTGGCAGACCGACTTAATGGAGCAGGCGACACAGACTGGCAGTGTTTACAGTAGCCTAACTCGACCTCTCTCTAACCTCGACACACACACACACACACACACACACACACA